GAAGTTGTTATCCATAAAATTGTGTCTATCTTGTCATAGTAGACACATCCCCCACCCCCCACCCCCTACCCCCCACCAAACCTAATACACATACACATACACATCCTATCCTACCCTACCCCTTAAACCACACCAACTCCCAACCCCGGCCCCTACTACAGGCAATACCCAGGCCCAAACCAAAATTTAAATCCGCCGTCCCCATACCACTACCACCCAACCATCCACCATCACAACCCCCAATCACATCAGCACGCCCAACCACTCAAACACCCATACAACCATTCACCATCACAACCCCCAATCCCGTCAGCATGCCCAACCACTCCAACACCCATACAACCATCCACCATCACAACCCCCAATCCCATCAGCATGCCATACCACTCCAACACCCATACAACCATCCACCATCACAACCCCGAATCCCGTCAGCATGCCCAACCACTCCAACACCCATACAACCATCCACCATCACAACCCCGAATCCCGTCAGCATGCCCAACCACTCCAACACCCATACAACCACACCACCACCCACATTACTCAGCAAAATAACAGAAAAGCAAAAAAAAAATCAAAATTTAAAAACAGCACCTTCAGCAACCATAACTCAACAAAAATATAACAACATAACAAACTTATTAAGTTCATAGCAGCTGCCCTTCTTTTTATATTGTAAAAAATACAATAGCCTTGCTCACAAGTTCAAACTACAACAAATCTTACACCAGTTTCCTAACTGCCACCCACAGTTGAAAAATAAACTAAAGTCATATCACTAAACTAAAATTATCTCAAAGTTATACCCATCACCATGTCATTCATAACTATCTCTTTGACAGCAAATCTTTACAAAAACAAGCTGGGAAGTTTATAATGTCACATGGGGCAGTGATCACTGGTCCTTAAAATCATATATAATATAATAAACAAATCCCTTTCAACTAACGATCAAACTTCAGGAAACACCCAGCAAACAAATTTCAATTTAAAACAAACAAACTGGCCGCTGTTCATCAAACTCTGCCATCAATCTGACACATCACATGATCACGAATACAAAACACAGACACACAAATGTATACCCACCTATATAAATAACTTCTTACACAACCCAGTCCCTTGGTGGAGCAACAAAATAATCAATGCTAGAAAACAAAGAAAAAAAGCTCCCAATCATTTTAAGAGAGACTGTTCTAAACTACCTGTAGTTATAAATCTGAGAAACAAAACTAAACAAATAATCATGGCAGCGCAAAGAGAATACACTGGCAAACTTTCAGTAAAATTAAACAAGCAAACAAAACACTGCTATTGTGGAACAAATTTAAAGCCATAAAAGTTAATTCCCTAAAATCTATTTACCCCAACATTAAGAACCTCACCACAAATAAAGCCAAAGCTGATGCAATTGCTGCCAACTTTTTGAAAACAAGCTGCTCAGCCAACACCAAAAACACAGCCTCAGCCACAGGACAAGATAATATCAGTTACATCATCATAAACAAAATCCCAATTAGAATACAAAAACTAAATATAGACAATGGGCACTACACCCCTACAATGGAAACATTCTGATATAGTACCAGTCCTCAAATGAGGAAAACCCCAAAACAAGCCTGACTCCTACCATCCCATCTCAACCATACCAACGCAAACTGGCCATCACATACCCACACATACATACGCCGATGCATCACAAGACACAAACTGGCCATCACATACCACACATACATACACCGATGCATCACAAGACACAAACTGGCCATCACATACCCACACATACATACACCGATGCATCACAAGACACAAACTGGCCATCACATACCACACATACATACACCGATGCATCACAAGACACAAACTGGCCATCACATACCACACATACATACACCGATGCATCACAAGACACAAACTGGCCATCACATACCACACATACATACACCGATGCATCACAAGACACAAACTGGCCATCACATACCACACATACATACACCGATGCATCACAAGACACAAACTGGCCATCACATACCCACACATACATACACCGATGCATCACAAGACACAAACAACACCAGCATAGGTATCCATGTAGATCAACCCCATACAATAACCACTAATTATCATCACAAAAATTCAAATACAGCAGAATTACTGGCCATATCAGCAGCACTACACCAAGCGAAAACCCTGAACCAAACCAACTTTCTTATAATTATGAAAAAATGGTTATGAAAATGGACCAAACATATTTAAATGGGTTAATATCTTAACTAAGTATGCATCATCTTGTGTAATAGAAAATGGACATCTCTCCAACTTTTTTCAGAACCAAAGAGGATGCCGGCAAAGGAATAACAATAAATGATATGGAGTATAAATTAGGTCAATATGTAGATGATACACAGTTATTTTTAGATGGATCTGAAGAGCTGCAATTGATATTTTAAATAAATTGTATAGAATATCCGGTCTTATGGTAAATATTGACAAAACTAAAGCTACATGGATAGGTTCAATGGCAGGAAGCAGCATCAAAAACTAGAAGACATGAAGACATAATATTAGACTGGCATGAGGGAAACTTGGAAGTCTTGGGAATAATATTTAATCCCACATTACTTGATCCATGGGTAATAAATACAAGAAAAAGACTTGAACATATTAATAGATTACTGGGAAGCTGGAAAAATAGACATCTAACATTAACAGGTAAAATCACAGTTTTTAAGACTCTGGCTTGTTCAACATTAGTTCATATATTTTCAACGTCGCTATATAAGTGCGATAATCTTGGACGCGACGTTAAACCCAATTTCACCTCACCTCATATATTTTCAGCACTTCCAAACCCGCCTGATAATTTTATTGGAAAATTTAATAAACTATTTTATACATTCATTTGGAATAACAAACCAGACAAAATAAAAAGATCTGCCTTGATAAGGAAATATGAAGGAGGTGGTCTGAGAAGAATAGATACCTTCAAATTTATTGATTCATTGAAATAATCATTTTTTAAGGACAAGTTTACAAAAATCGACTTCATCAACATTAAAGAACTTCCAATCAAAACAGATATTCCTTTTGGGATCAAATATTGATAAGTGTATTACTTTGAAAAATCGCTTTTGGGGGGACATATTGAATATTTCGGGTAATTACTACAGAAAACATAAAGTTGACAAACAAAGTATTGACGAAATTTTTATCAGAACCATTATGGTTCAATCACCCATTTAAAAATAATTTAATTCTAAAACATTGGTTTAATAAGGGTATTCATAGTTTAAAAGATTTATGTAGCAACAACAGATTTTGAACATTTGAAGAATTATAAAATCAATTTCAAATTAAAGGTACTATACTTGACTACAACAGAGCAATGCTAAATGTCCCTAAATCATGAAAAAAAACAATAAATTGCAGATCTTCTATCACAGCTAACTTATACATAAATAACATTTTGAGAGACATGTTGATGAGAACAAAGGGCTCCAGAATATTTTATGATAAACTTATAGCTGTAAACTAACTTTCCTCTGATGTGTGATAAATGGGAAAATTAACTTAATCAAAGCATTTTAAGGAATAACACTTTCTCTAATTGTAGATTGTGTACCAATGATGTTAACCTAATAGATTTCCAGTACAAATTCATAAATTGAGCTTTATATACCAAAAAGGAGTTATGGAAAATGAAGTTAATAGATGATGATATATGCTCATTTTGTGTCTCCGAATCTGAAAACTTATACCATGTGTATGTAGAATGTGTTTTTGTATAGGAATTTTGGTTAGAAATTGAAATGTACCTTAACTCGAAACTAGCATATGATATTCATGTTACCATTCTGGATAAGTTATTTTGCTACAAAAAAAACAACTACCTATTCAACCACATAATTCTTCTTGCCAAAAAATACATTCACCAGTCAAGCACTAGGAAAACTCCATTATGCTTTCCTTTTTTCATAAAATGTTGAAAGATGTAAAATAGAAACATTCATCGCAATGAAAAATAGTAGTATTAAGAGATTCGACAGAAAATGGAAAATGGAATTATCAGCCTACTTATTATAATTTCTCAGTCAATCAATAGATGTACTTACCCATATCTGATCATGTTTTAAGATTCTATGAATAGCTACATGTATATACCTCATGTACCAATGTTACATAGATGTCTACTGAATTGAAATAAAAATATTTAAAAAAAAACAAAAAACAGAAAAACTTCAGAATTAAGATCAGATAACTCAGTTGATCTACCATGAATACCTAGCCACTCAAACATACCAGGTAATGACTCCGCTGACACAGCAGCCAAATAAGCAATGATAAATCCATCCCCTAAATTAAACTTTTCCACCTCTCTAAGGCCGAAGCATAAAAAATCTAAATTTTCAATCACTTATTAAAAATTATAACTCCAACTGGAGAAAATCCCTTTTCACCAAACCTCTAATACCTATTAGTATTAGAGATATGGCTAGAACAAACACATACACCACTATCAACAATCAGTCAAACTTGTCGCCTTTTGACACTAACTCCAAATTGTTTCCATGGAAATCAAGAAAAATAAAAATGCCCAAAATCTGTAAAATAGCAAAGGGCACCTCTTTGGAATCTGTTTGATATATCTGCCAAGTTTTGTTAAAAGATTTTGAATGGTTTTCCAGTTACGCTCAGGAAATGAAATGATTACGGACGGACATATGGACAGACAGACAGACAGACAGACTAGGCGTCGACCATATCCGCTGCATCATATGCCAGGGGGATAACAAGAGGTACAGATCGTGTTGTTTTAGTTTCCCTTCTCTTCACTTGCATCTCCAGTATTTTGATGGCAATTTACAGTCAAGTTTGAGATATTTCATGAGAAATAAGAATTTCATTTTCTTTACTCAAAATGGAAAAGGAAATGTATAGTTATAAAATGCTTATCATGGAATCTTTAAACTATGACAAATCCAAATAAAGTTGAATACTTCACGTGGCAGAAAGGCGGTAGGCAAGTCCTCCTCCATGGCTTCAGATACAGACTCAACAACCAGCGACTGACTTGTGTACACTGGAAAAATGTACAGCGCCAAGGATTAGTCAACACCGCAGTGTCAACTCAATGCAGTTTATTCTGCAACCATAACATCGACAGAAAAACCGGAAGGCCCGGTTCAACCAAAAGTTGGAATAAACAAAAGCGAACGCGGATGCGTGCAATGGCACAGGGTGTCTGCCTGGGCAAGTGTGCCCCAGTGGGTCAGTACCAAGTTAGCTCAGATGGTTCATGGTGCCCGTTCCCAATCCCATAATAGAACTTACACTGAGATTGACCAGAGGTTGCGGACAAGTTCATAGCAGTATTAAGACTCCCCTTGAATTCCTTAGTGATGCTGGACGACCAAATAACTCTATTGACATGTTACTTTAAAGATAGGTATTAAAGTGACAATACAGTGAGACATATTTTATATAATATATATCTACATTTTTAACTTGTAATGATAACTTAATACTAAGAACCATAACAATTTGGAACGTGAACACACAATTATATTTAGAATGTAACAAATGTTATATTTGGGATAACACTTTCTAAGCCTCGGTGGCTGAGTGGGTTAGATCGCTGAGTTTGTGAGCTTGTGATTAGGTGCCTCACTCTATTTGTCAACATAATTATGATCTCTAGAGGGGCATTACTGCCATCAATCATCTAAACTGTGACTATACTTTCAGTGCATATCTTTATTTATTATGATTATTTATTCTGAACTTTATTTTGTCATGGTCACTGGACAAATGCCTTATGGGTGACCTCTACTGTGCTGACATGTCTTGTGTGAGAGGTTAACATGCAGATTAAATACAGATGATGTGAAAACCTTTAATTTTACTATATTTATTATGCCTGTTTGGCATTATTTTTTTTTAACATTTGAAAATCTATACTGCATCCACATTTCATACAACACAAGTGCATTTGTTGGCTGTTTTCCATCCACTATGTGGTTGCTCAAAGCACACTTATTACCCGTTCAATGGATCAGCTTGCACTTAACAATCATACCCAGCTCCCTGGGGAGTATACAACCCAAACTGCTTTGAGGCACTAGCAGGTTAACCGTCACATTGACATCTCATCCTACTGGGTACCCATTCACGGCTGGGTGAACAAAGGCACATTTCAAACAGTCACTTACCCAAGGGGACACCACAAACGTTAAATGTGCTTCAGTGCGGGGCAGTACCAAAGTCCAAGAAAATCTCAGCAGCCAAGCTGCTGAACACAGTGGATCCAACCATTCTCCACAACCAGTGTTGCTTAACTTGACATGATCTGTGACCTGTGCGCTGTGCACAGGACCACATGCCACCAGCTCATGCATTCTGATACAGATATGATAAATGATCATAATTCTTATATTAAAACAACTATCTTGACACCTTACTTTGCAGACTCCGAGTTTCTATCCAAATTGATCCTTTGAAATTTTTTTGATGGGAGTAGGTATTGTACAGTATCAACAGAGAATCAGGTCGATCGGTCGGTCGGTCGGTCGGTTGGTCGGTCGGTCGGTCGGTCGGTCGGTCGGTCGGTGGTTTAATACTCAGTTGAACCCTTACCTGGCATGTCAAGTGAACACTTTAACCCTGAGGCTACCAGGAGACAATGAGGCTGACTACAACTATTTTCATGATGAAGACAACCACATCAGATTCAAGTTCAACTCATTACCTTTTCAGTGACATAAACTGTTGGACAAAACAAAGAATGCACATGAAATCATATACCAAATGCAGCACCAGTTCATTGTAGTCCTCCACAGTTGTAGGGTTTTAATAAAAACCAAATAAAAAGGTACCCAGAAAGGCTTGCCTCATTCTCTGTGACTATCCAATCATCTTAGGGTGACTGCTGTATGTCAGGTCCATAGAACCCATGTAGTCAGCCCACTGTAGCCAGGTGGTTGGGATGTGTGAGCTGGCTCACTGTGTGTCACTTTACCCAGTACACAGTGCTGACCTATACTGCTGGATATACCTATTGGTCATTGCTCTATACTGCAAACCCCCTAGTTTATCCTTAGATTATCCAACATGCTTGTCTTACCATACTAGCTGTGCCATAATGGTTACAGTGAGCATCAACCCAATGTGCAAATCTGTCAGCACCCCAGCTGAGTGTATGATGCTACTCAATAAACATGTTAAATAGTTCAATAAACATGATAAAACAAAACATGAAAGATTCAAATCATATTTTGTATACCTGTATTCAAAATCCCATCTGTCCAAAACATACATATACCCACAATTAAGATGTCACCATTATCATGTTCATGTCAATATGCACATCATTAGCCTCATGATATCTCAACATCTCCACTGGATAAGCTATGAACTGCACCAAGTCATGGCAAGGAGTAAAGAATATTAGTGACTGACTGACTGACTGACTGACTGACTGACTGACTGACTGACTGACTGACTGACTGACTGACTGACTGACTGACTGACTGACTGACTGACAGACAGACAGACTGACTGACAGATAGATATGACATTCATACTACACACATACTACACACACACACACACACACACACACACACACACACACACACACACACACACACACACACACACACACACACACACACACACACACACACACACACACACACACACACACACACACACACACACACACACACACACACACATTATGATCCGGGTTAGATTAGATCTTCAGCAACCCATGCTTGCTGCAAATGGTGGCTATGCTTGTCGTAAAAGGCAACTAATGGGATGCGGTGGTCAGCTTCGCTGACTTGGTTGATGCATGTCATCGTATCCTAATTGTGTTGATCGATGCTCATGATGTCAATCACTGGATTGTCTGTTCCAAAATCCATTATTTACAGACCGCTGTCATATAGCTGGAATATTGCTGCGAGCGGCATTAAACAACAAACAAACAAACAAACAAACAAACAAACAAACAAACAAACAAACACACCACACCACACCACACCACACCACACCACACCACACCACACCACACCACCACCAATCCAATCCAATCCAATCCAATCCAATCCAATTAAATCAGTATAGGGCTGTTAAGTCTTATGAACTGTGGAATAACTGAGTTAAAGCCTTGGCAGGTTTACGAACAGTGCAACATTGTTTCTACAGTGAAGAACATTTAAGAGTCTCCAAACAGTGAGTTGGTATGAACTTGTTTCTCTGTAGAACACTGTAACAGTTAGCACCACTGTGAGCAGTTCAACACAGGGTTGTTGTTGTTGTTGTTGTTGTTGTTGTTGTTTTTGTTTTTGTTGTTGTTGTTCAATAGGTAGTTGACAATGGCCCCAAAGCCGCAGACGAGCTGCCTCCTTTAAATGATTGCATCTTACAAGAAGGCATAATATGACATTGACATTGAACAAGAGCCTGAAGAGGACAAATGGCAGTGGTTGGTTCCATGATGGTGTGTTTGATATTTAAAAACAATCCACAACATTATTTTTGATTATTGGTGGTGAAATATTAATTTATTTTTTATCTCTTTGTAATGACTTGTCAATGTTGTTTTACTCCACTGTGGACGACATTCTGAATGAATGTTTGTGACATGCCGACAACAACGTTGCTTAATTGGGCGTGGCAGAAAGAGTGAACAGAAACTGAAGCTCTCTCGCGCGATGAAGTATTTTTGGATTTTCTGTTGCTGCAAAGACAATTTACCTTTGCACGTGCTGCTCAATGCAACCTAAATATAACTTACCTACACTGTGTGAAAAGAACTCTTCATATTCCTCACTGGGATGATAAGCAATCGGCGACTTTAGGTGACAGGCGCAAGGGAGCAATGGCAATGGCTGCAAGGAAGTCGTACAATTCTGAATGGAAGGAAATGACCGCAAGAGGACGTTGGCAGCGTTAAGATGGTCCCCGAAAAGACAAATAAATATGTGTTAGGAAAAAATGCTAAGGACCCAGACCAATGTAAATAGCACGTAAGCTATTAGCAAAGCTGTTTTGTGAAATGTTGTGAAAGGAATTCTCCCAGACGTGGCGTATTCGTGGGCCGTCGTTGATAAAAACTAGTTCCAAAAAAATTAAAACGATGGTTGTCAATTTTTGGATCGTCAGTAGTGTGTGGAACATTCTGTTGAACTATCCAGCGGTGGTTATTTGTCCAAACTGTCTATAGTCGCGACGCGGTGCTGTGCGAAAGTTTGCACTACTTTCTCTTTTCTGGGGACCATCACCAACATTCTCTTGACTATTTATTTGTTCCAATTAAAGTTTAAAGGTGTTGAATGAGGGCCATTTAAAGTGAAATTCATTGCTTGTGTGAGGCGGTGTTAAGACATAAGGGCGAGGACGAACCAAACAGCAAGGTATGAAAAAATCCATAAAGAAAACAAAGGTTTCATTGCTTGTCTTCGAGTTTAGAACATTGGACGTATGAAACACAAGGTCCAAAGTTCATCTGCTGCCGAACTTATCAGGTCTTTCTTCTAATAAGGTACACCTCATACCCGGGCGCAGCATAGCAAGTATGTTCGATTGGTGTAAATGCTATTCGGACATAGACATAGACATAGACATACACAAACACATTTATTTCAGTAACGTAAAGCCTCAGGCCCATAATACAATTGAATAGTTTTTCCCCCAAGCTTTCTGGTATACGAAGAGTTGGTACAATATGTTTTAAAAAGTTCAGGAACATTGTTCACAGATATACAGTATTAAATTTATAATACAGGATATCAATAGACTTTTGCACTGTACACAATTATCGCCCGAGGCACAGTAGCAGTAGTATCTGTATTGCTAAAATAACTTCACAAGCCATTCATGTAACAATTTAGGCTCTCGGTAAACGGTTTGATGTGATTGAAAACAATATCGTAGCATTTGCAGACCGGAATAACATTGAACTAATCCTCGCCATATGAAATGTTACGTGAGCAATGGGAGTATTTCAATACCTAATATATGCGGCGATTTGACCTTTTTGGTCGGAAATGTGCCTAACCCTAACCACTGGCCACTCAAATGCCACTCGGATGTCAAAGTTGTCGCAGCGCATTGAAACTTTGCATGCGGGTAGACCTTGACCTGGAGGTCACGTTTCCACCGTCCTTGACCCCAGATCATCTCTGTGAGCGGAGCTATGGGCTCCATTATGTAACCCTAACATTGGCTCCAAATCGAAAAATGTTTCGTTGAGTATGCTCCATTTGACCTAAGGAGTCGTCCTGCAAGGTCTGAGAGTCCTACGATGATTTGACCTTTTTGGTCGGAAATGTGCCTAACCCTAACCACTGGCCACTCAAATGCCACTCGGATGTCAAAGTTGTCGCAGCGCATTGAAACTTTGCATGCGGGTAGACCTTGACCTGGAGGTCACGTTTCCACCGTCCTTGACCCCAGATCATCTCTGTGAGCGGAGCTATGGGCTCCATTATGTAACCCTAACATTGGCTCCAAATCGAAAAATGTTTCGTTGAGTATGCTCCATTTGACCTAAGGAGTCGTCCTGCAAGGTCTGAGAGTCCTACGATGATTTGACCTTTTTGGTCGGAAATGTGCCTAACCCTAACCACTGGCCACTCAAATGCCACTCGGATGTCAAAGTTGTCGCAGCGCATTGAAACTTTGCATGCGGGTAGACCTTGACCTGGAGGTCACGTTTCCACCGTCCTTGACCCCAGATCATCTCTGTGAGCGGAGCTATGGGCTCCATTATGTAACCCTAACATTGGCTCCAAATCGAAAAATGTTTCGTTGAGTATGCTCCATTTGACCTAAGGAGTCGTCCTGCAAGGTCTGAGAGTCCTACGATGATTTGACCTTTTTGGTCGGAAATGTGCCTAACCCTAACCACTGGCCACTCAAATGCCACTCGGATGTCAAAGTTGTCGCAGCGCATTGAAACTTTGCATGCGGGTAGACCTTGACCTGGAGGTCACGTTTCCACCGTCCTTGACCCCAGATCATCTCTGTGAGCGGAGCTATGGGCTCCATTATGTAACCCTAACATTGGCTCCAAATCGAAAAATGTTTCGTTGAGTATGCTCCATTTGACCTAAGGAGTCGTCCTGCAAGGTCTGAGAGTCCTACGATGATTTGACCTTTTTGGTCGGAAATGTGCCTAACCCTAACCACTGGCCACTCAAATGCCACTCGGATGTCAAAGTTGTCGCAGCGCATTGAAACTTTGCATGCGGGTAGACCTTGACCTGGAGGTCACGTTTCCACCGTCCTTGACCCCAGATCATCTCTGTGAGCGGAGCTATGGGCTCCATTATGTAACCCTAACATTGGCTCCAAATCGAAAAATGTTTCGTTGAGTATGCTCCATTTGACCTAAGGAGTCGTCCTGCAAGGTCTGAGAGTCCTACGATGATTTGACCTTTTTGGTCGGAAATGTGCCTAACCCTAACCACTGGCCACTCAAATGCCACTCGGATGTCAAAGTTGTCGCAGCGCATTGAAACTTTGCATGCGGGTAGACCTTGACCTGGAGGTCACGTTTCCACCGTCCTTGACCCCAGATCATCTCTGTGAGCGGAGCTATGGGCTCCATTATGTAACCCTAACATTGGCTCCAAATCGAAAAATGTTTCGTTGAGTATGCTCCATTTGACCTAAGGAGTCGTCCTGCAAGGTCTGAGAGTCCTACGATGATTTGACCTTTTTGGTCGGAAATGTGCCTAACCCTAACCACTGGCCACTCAAATGCCACTCGGATGTCAAAGTTGTCGCAGCGCATTGAAACTTTGCATGCGGGTAGACCTTGACCTGGAGGTCACGTTTCCACCGTCCTTGACCCCAGATCATCTCTGTGAGCGGAGCTATGGGCTCCATTATGTAACCCTAACATTGGCTCCAAATCGAAAAATGTTTCGTTGAGTATGCTCCATTTGACCTAAGGAGTCGTCCTGCAAGGTCTGAGAGTCCTACGATGATTTGACCTTTTTGGTCGGAAATGTGCCTAACCCTAACCACTGGCCACTCAAATGCCACTCGGATGTCAAAGTTGTCGCAGCGCATTGAAACTTTGCATGCGGGTAGACCTTGACCTGGAGGTCACGTTTCCACCGTCCTTGACCCCAGATCATCTCTGTGAGCGGAGCTATGGGCTCCATTATGTAACCCTAACATTGGCTCCAAATCGAAAAATGTTTCGTTGAGTATGCTCCATTTGACCTAAGGAGTCGTCCTGCAAGGTCTGAGAGTCCTACGATGATTTGACCTTTTTGGTCGGAAATGTGCCTAACCCTAACCACTGGCCACTCAAATGCCACTCGGATGTCAAAGTTGTCGCAGCGCATTGAAACTTTGCATGCGGGTAGACCTTGACCTGGAGGTCACGTTTCCACCGTCCTTGACCCCAGATCATCTCTGTGAGCGGAGCTATGGGCTCCATTATGTAACCCTAACATTGGCTCCAAATCGAAAAATGTTTCGTTGAGTATGCTCCATTTGACCTAAGGAGTCGTCCTGCAAGGTCTGAGAGTCCTACGATGATTTGACCTTTTTGGTCGGAAATGTGCCTAACCCTAACCACTGGCCACTCAAATGCCACTCGGATGTCAAAGTTGTCGCAGCGCATTGAAACTTTGCATGCGGGTAGACCTTGACCTGGAGGTCACGTTTCCACCGTCCTTGACCCCAGATCATCTCTGTGAGCGGAGCTATGGGCTCCATTATGTAACCCTAACATTGGCTCCAAATCGAAAAATGTTTCGTTGAGTATGCTCCATTTGACCTAAGGAGTCGTCCTGCAAGGTCTGAGAGTCCTACGATGATTTGACCTTTTTGGTCGGAAATGTGCCTAACCCTAACCACTGGCCACTCAAATGCCACTCGGATGTCAAAGTTGTCGCAGCGCATTGAAACTTTGCATGCGGGTAGACCTTGACCTGGAGGTCACGTTTCCACCGTCCTTGACCCCAGATCATCTCTGTGAGCGGAGCTATGGGCTCCATTATGTAACCCTAACATTGGCTCCAAATCGAAAAATGTTTCGTTGAGTATGCTCCATTTGACCTAAGGAGTCGTCCTGCAAGGTCTGAGAGTCCTACGATGATTTGACCTTTTTGGTCGGAAATGTGCCTAACCCTAACCACTGGCCACTCAAATGCCACTCGGATGTCAAAGTTGTCGCAGCGCATTGAAACTTTGCATGCGGGTAGACCTTGACCTGGAGGTCACGTTTCCACCGTCCTTGACCCCAGATCATCTCTGTGAGCGGAGCTATGGGCTCCATTATGTAACCCTAACATTGGCTCCAAATCGAAAAATGTTTCGTTGAGTATGCTCCATTTGACCTAAGGAGTCGTCCTGCAAGGTCTGAGAGTCCTACGATGATTTGACCTTTTTGGTCGGAAATGTGCCTAACCCTAACCACTGGCCACTCAAATGCCACTCGGATGTCAAAGTTGTCGCAGCGCATTGAAACTTTGCATGCGGGTAGACCTTGACCTGGAGGTCACGTTTCCACCGTCCTTGACCCCAGATCATCTCTGTGAGCGGAGCTATGGGCTCCATTATGTAACCCTAACATTGGCTCCAAATCGAAAAATGTTTCGTTGAGTATGCTCCATTTGACCTAAGGAGTCGTCCTGCAAGGTCTGAGAGTCCTACGATGATTTGACCTTTTTGGTCGGAAATGTGCCTAACCCTAACCACTGGCCACTCAAATGCCACTCGGATGTCAAAGTTGTCGCAGCGCATTGAAACTTTGCATGCGGGTAGACCTTGACCTGGAGGTCACGTTTCCACCGTCCTTGACCCCAGATCATCTCTGTGAGCGGAGCTATGGGCTCCATTATGTAACCCTAACATTGGCTCCAAATCGAAAAATGT